TATTTCTCCCAGGCCTCTCTGTTACCTGCCTATCTCTTAGGCAGTTGAGTTTGCAACCTGTTTTTTTTTTAAAACCATGGATGTCAAAATGTGGATATCTGTATTTTTCTAGGGAGAAAATTTATAATTTTCATAAAAGCTCAAGAACCCTTACTTTGGATGCTCTAAGTCACTCCGCCCTGCCCCCCCCCCATATTTTAAAGGTCAAATTACGTATGTGTTTCAATGTAAATGTTTTAAGTGGTTCTTAGGAATTAGATATAATAGAAATAATTTTATAGAAATAATGCTAATAATAGATGATGAAGAAAAGAATATCATCTGGAAGCAGACTCAATCTCAAAGCATGTTCTAGTCTTGTTCCACATCTGTAAGTCACAGAGTTCTTGGATTCACCCTGGGACACTGGTGATGAATTATTTTTGTTCATATTGACTTGGGGGCGGTCCTCATAGTTTAGCAATGTTCACTCAAAAAAATGTCACTGCAACAAATTGTCAGTGACTTGATTGCTATAGGGAGGAACACAACACTCTCATGAGGGAGCCTATGTATAGCTGACCAGCCAGGCATAAAGCAGAACCTAAAATAGAGAACTGAGGAGGATAGCAGTGAATATTTCCTTCACAGAATACCCAGCAGGGAAAAAACCATAGGGGATCAAAGTCTGGTGAAGAATACCACCGCCCATTGTCTCTGACAGCATGTGCGATTGATTTTCCTGAGGTAGCCCATTATCTTCCTCAGTTATGTATGTGAATTCCTTTTCAGAATACTAGAGTGGGCAAAAAGTCTTTTACTTAGAATTTCTAAGTGTTAAGGAATGTGGGGCATTGCTTATCTATATTATAAAAGGCCTGTGGTCCTAACGCCTTAACGACCAAAGACGGGTGCAGGTGGGTGGGGCTGTGAGCTCAGAGAGGCACATGCGGGTGGGCGGGGCCACGCGATTTCGTGGGCTGGGCTTCTAGTAGGATGATAACACTCTTTACCTAGTAGCCTGGGGTTCTCTAGCCTAGCTTCTTATTTTGAACAGATCAGAGCTGTCAATGCTACAATAAGAGAGACAACGAGAATAAAAGTAGATCCCTTAGAGTTGTTTTGTGCCCTTCAGCTGCTCTATGTGTGCTTTGTGACTTACTGTTCCCTGAGAAAATTGGAGTCTGGCTTCACAAGGTCCTTATGAGGACACAGTCACTTTCAAGCATGATATTCCTGAAGGAATTGTTTGAATAAAAAGTATATCAATAGATAATAATATACACTTGAACATTTATAATTCCTTGCTCTCTTTTTAATACTATTTATTTGAAAGGGTTAAGAGAGTTGTTGTTTTTTTATAGTAAGAGGGCATTATTTCCAATGACATTTTACTCGGTGTTCCTCTTCTTTGTTTGCACTAAAGAAAATCTTGCCAGATCTGATATTATTCTCTGAAGGTACGTTTGCATCATTTCCAATTAAATGTTTGAAGTCAGCAGTCTATGGTAAATTATCATAAATGTTATTATAAGTTCAAGCTGAAATGTTAGCAAGAGAATTGCTAAAGGGTAGAGAGGGTGGGAAAATGATTATTTGTGCCATTAGCAGAGGATTTTGTTTTTCAAAATGGATAAAGAAAGGTTGGGCAGGCAGGGCAGCAGAACAAGTGCCCTAGAGCACAGGAAGGGTGCGACAGGTTGAGGCAGGGGCTGGGAACTCTTGGGCTTCTAGCCAAAGGACAGGAAGCTAGTACACTACCTGACTCATGCCTGATATGGAGTTGGGCAGAGAGCTCAGTCGATGTATTTCTCCCCATTTTCTCTGTCACAACTTGGCCCTGTGCCCAGCACCAGGATGTAGGGGGAAAAGTCCTGTCTCTCATCTGTGAATGCAACGCAGCTCCTACTATCAAATTCCAGAGTCAATTCTAGGGTATAGTGCAATGAACTTGACTGGCTTCAATAGTACTAGTGACAGCTTTGACATTTAGATAAGTATGAAAATTTTCTTACCATCATAAAAATGTTTTTTTGGAATTAAAATTATCCATACAAATTAGTCTTCTTTTGATTTGTTTTATCATAAGCAGGATAAAAATGTGCATATCTATATATAAAAGACTAAGTGACCATCCGACCATCCGACCATCCGACTGGTAGCTATGATGTGCAATGACCACCAGGGGGCAAATGCTCAACACAGGAGCTGCCGAGCTGCAGTGACTTGGCAGTGGTGGTTCTCGGGTGACACACCCTGGAACCAGAGAGGAGGGAGCCCAATTCCAGGGTGCATCAACCGAGAATCACCCTCTCACAATCTGGAACCCCTGAGGGGATGTCAGAGAGCTGGTTTTGGCCCAATCCCTGCAGGCCAGGCCAAGGGACCCCACTGCCAGAGGGACCCTGCTCACTCTGCAGATGCCCTTGGAGCCATGGCACCACCCCAGGTGTGGCAAGCCAGGGAGGGGCTACAGGAGGTTGGCTCCAGGGCATGTCTGGCCCGTCTCGCCCAGTTCCACCTTGCTGGCCACCTTCTAATTAATTTCCTTTCAATATGCACAAATTCGTGCACTGGGGCAATAGTATAATATAGAGATGAAGAACACAGGATAAAAGAAACTAGAAATTAGATCTGTTTTCCAGTTCTATTTGGTTACTATCTTACTACATTAGGCTTTTTTATGTTAGTGCATACATGGGGGATGTTTTTAAAATGCAGATTCTAATTCAGGAGGTCTGAGGTGGGGACTGAGATTCAGTATCTCTCACAAGTTGCTGGGTGATGCCCCTGCTGGTGGTCTTAGGGCTATATGATGGGAGTCAAATGCTTGACTGATCTATGTTAAGTTGCCATTCCAGTTCCCTCCAGTCTCAAAATGTCACCTCCTCCTTCCTATCCTCTGACTATGCTAGCTAAAATGGTAATTCCCACTGTCACTCTGTCCCCATAACTGCCTTAATTTCCTCCATTGCATTTACTTTATAAATACTGACATAATAATTATGTATTTATAGATTGTCTCTTCCCAGTACAGTACAGGCTCCATGAGGGCACTGACTTTATTTATCTATTTCATTTTATTATTGTGTCCTCATGGTATGAAGCAGTGCCTCACAAGTAGAGGAGCATAACACTAAGTGAATGAATAGATAGATGGGTGAATGAATGAATTTTCTTTCCATCACGGAATGTGTGAGACCTTCTTTGGAGTCTAGGGCCTTTTTGAGGCTGAACAATCCCACCTTTGGACTACGTATAGGCAAGAGCAGTGTGGGCCATATCTAGATTTCTCTTGTCACAGAATTTGCTGGACACTAAAGGGACTCTATAACTCTAACTGGCTGGCTCTTGATATTTTGCAATTTCCATATTATTGTAATAAAACTAATCAGAGTACAATCTTGCCCAGGGAGATCAAGCATTCTTAATTCCTCTACGTTTTGAAAGACATCGTTTCTCAGGATTACATAGTTAATTCAAGCTGCTTCAGGAATTCTCCTTCCAAATCACATCAGCTAGTACCAGAAGATAGGACACTCTCCTACCCTTTTTGCTTATATTTATCTTGTCTCAACTTAGAAGAAATATTGTTCAGGACAAATTGAATTACAGTTCCAAACAAGGAAAGCTCCTGAGGACACAGTGCTAATTACAGCTCTCAGGAGTGGAAGCTACATTAAGCAGATGTCAACAAGAATTGTAAGGTGCATTTTCTAAAACACCACAACAGGCAAAACCATTGTAACTGTAAATCAAGGAATTATTGTTCTACTAGAGGCCTGATGCATGAAATTCATGCAAGGGGTTCAGCTCTCACAGCCCTGGCTTCGTCCAGAAGGTTGTCTGGAAGGATGTCTGGAAGGTCATTTGGCTGTCCAGTCTAATTAGTATATTATGCTTTTATTATTATAGATTCTGGGTAGAAAGTAGGCAGGGGGGTCTATGGGATTGTCTCTACCACATCACTCTGAACAATAGTAACTTTCATCAAAATGCTCATCCTCAAATTTTATTGACTTATGAAATCATTTGTGTGAACACATTTTAAATGAAATTTTCATCACTTTCAGAACTTCATATTTTAAAGTATACCCCCCTCCAATAAATGTCCTGAAGGAGGTAAGCTCAAAAAGACATAGATAACTACAAGAATGGCTTTCTGTAATATTTGGACTCCAAATTTAAAGCTAATCCTTTTAATTAAATTAATCATATCACAAACTGCTAGGAAAGAAAATATGAAGTTTGAATTAGCCCCTCGCTAAGGGTGAAAAAAGAGAATAAGTTATTTTATTTCAGCTAGAATCTATCATTTAGGTAAATTAGCGAAGCAGTAATTTCAGCCAAATTTTGTTTCCTTTCTTCAATTCCACAACATACCTGCTAATTTTCTCACTCGTGGAAATGCAAGTCATCAGGTCTGTGGCTGATTGCTTCTACAACAGAAGGCCCTAAACCATTAGTGACAAGAAACTAGCTCTTATTTCCAGTTTTTTGTTGTTGTTGTTGTTGTTGTTGTTTTTGTTGTTTATGTTTTGAGATCACTACAAGAAAGTAAAAAAGAGAAAACCACGATGAGGATGCCAGCAAATGATGGGGGTGCTGTGGGGCATTTTCTGTTCTCTGAGACTCTCTTTAAACCACAGGGAATAGAGAGCTCTACCAACTAAGCCTTCTGGATTATCGGTATGGAAGTTTATCCTACATTCCAGATTACAAAATTCCCACACATAGAGCTATGTTCCCTCTAAATCTGAACTAGAGATGACATGGTATTGACATTTTTTCTAATATGCATTTGTTGAGAAATGGGAAAATAGATATCATACTCTCATAAAATGACCACTCTACCAACCATAATCACATTTCACATATATGAAAACATTATTATTAATTGGAGAAATTAAAGATGTTGATGATAACAAAGTGATAAATAAATTAATAAGATTTTTTTCCATTGTGGAAGTCATCAGGATTGTAGACTTGAGTGAAGTGAGTTCCCTCTAATGAAGGAGGTGGCCATTGAAGAAAATGGTCATGTTGGTAAGATAAAACACACATACTCACATACAGACAGGCATATACAGGAATTTGTTAAGTCATAAAGACAAAACATTCTTTTTCTATTGATTTCGTTTTCAAAAACTATTTTCTTAGGTTTAAAGTATTATTGTACAAACACAGCCATTGGGCTTTACCAGTTGTTAAGTCTTTAGTCATATGATAAATATTGCATGAAATAAATAATTTCCCCAAAATATTTAAAGGTCACTTATCTTTCTGGCTCACTTTGTAGACTTGAAAGAAACCTGACAGGAGGGGTGTTTTCCTGAGATACTTGGCTAATATTGCTTTTCTCCAGCAGTGGTGGTTATGTAGTCTTGTCCAAGAAGCAGAAACCTTACTATGCCAACCAGGACTGAATAGCTCCTAGGATTTTAAAGGCATGGTGACAGGTGACTACCATATGAATGCTTATAGTCACAAGGAAGAGACTTTACTATTTGTGAAATAAATTAGAGCATACTATTAAAATACCATTAACTAATAGACAACCACCAGTCAGCAACAGTGCAAAAAACAATTTTGTAAATTATTTCTTGCCGTTGACTAAAGTGGCTAAACTGTTTCATTTGTTATTTGGTTCAGGGTCTGACCAGCCTGTTCCCTACAATGACACCCTCTTGAAGAGGAGCAGAGGTGGTTAAAGTATTTTTCTTCAATATGGTGACAAGTGTTTCTGGATGGATATGTTATCTTACACTGAGTATACAGAAAGCATATTTGGGGTATACAGAATGGTAAATAAATGAAGATGCCCTTTTAGCTGGATGGAAAGACATCCTATTAGGTTGTTTTCATTAAATGGCCACAATCAAGTGTCACCCCTGGCCTGTTGTTCAGTCACTTTCCAGTCAGGGTCCGTAAGTGATTCCTTAGTGCCATGAAATGCATGTTGAGAGGGTTCCTCTTCACTCTACTGCGGCCTCTCCTCTTGACTTGACATTACACAGTGCTCATCACTGTCACTGTCACAGCATGAGCTGCATATTTTGGGCAAAACCTTTGTTATATGGATATTAGATAACCTAGCCAGTGCTGCATGTTCAGAATTCAGATCTTGGATTTTAGAAAGAATTTTTTCCCTATTAGTTTGTATTGGTTCTTTAAGATCTGCATTAAGCCATATTCAATAAGCCCTATAATTAGTGAATTTTTAGAGAAGGCTAATATAAATAATTTTATCTTATAGCAAATAAACAATGATGGCTTGGTTAGGGAATGGTCATTATTTTAACATCTTAGGATCCAAGACTTTTTACTTGCCATTAATTTATACATTTTGTGTGTGTAGTGTATGTGAATATGTATATATCTATCTATATAATAGAAAAATATGCTAATTAACCAGGATGCCGTAATGGGTTCACCAGACAGGAGGAAGTTGCGCATGTAGCATCGGAGGCAGGGCGGCAGGGGCCTCCGCGTGCCCGCACTGGGGGAGGGCCTGATCAGCAGAGGCCATGGCTGCTTCAGGGCTGGAGAGGGAGGCAGGGCCGGACCAGTGACTCGAGGGTGGGCGGCACCACGCAATTTCAAATTGCACACTGGGCTCCTAGTATCCTATATAATAAAGAGGAGATATGCAAATTGAGCATCACTCCAACACACAAGATGGCTGCCCCCATGTGGTCAAAGATGGCCACCCCCATGTGGACACAAGATAGCCACCACAAGATGGCCAGCAGGGGAAGGCAGTTAGGGGTGACCAGGCTGACAAGGGAGGGAAGTTAGGGGTGACCAGGCCAGCAGGGGAGGGCAGTTGGGGGTGACCAAACCTGCAGGGGAGGACAGTTAGGGTGATCAGGCCTACATGGGTGGGCAGTTTGGGGAGACCAGGCCTGCAGGGGAGGACAGTTAGGGGTGACCAGGGCGGCAGGGAAGGGCAGTTAGGGTCAATCGGGCCGGCAGGAGAGGGCAGTTAGGGGCACTTTGGCTGGCAGGGGAGGGAAGTTAGGGGTGACTGGGCCAGCAAGGAAGGGCAGTTGGGGGTGACCAGGCCTGCAGGGGAGGACAGTTAGGGGTGACCAGGGTTAGGGGCAATCAGGCAGGCAGGGGAGTGGTTGGGAGCCAGCAGTCCTGGATTGTGAGAGGGATGTCTGACTGCCTATTTAGGCCCAAGGGGTCCCAGATTGGAGAGGGTGCAGGCTGGGCTGAGGGACACACACACACACACACACACACACACACACACACATGCACAAATTTTGTGCACTGGGCCTCTAGTATGGTCCTTAGGCCTGGCCTGCAATCAGGGCCATCTTCCCCATCTGCCCGCAGCCAGCCCCCCACTGCCACCCACCCCCGGTTCTCCATTTACCATCAGGTGATCGATGCCTGACAGCCAGGGGAAGGAACTGAGAGGTCGGCTGTTCCCACCTGTTCGTGGGCTCTGCCCCCATAGCAGGTGGCCATCAGGCGATCTGAGCCTTCCAGCCAGGGAAAGGAACCAAGAGGTGGTCAGTGAGCCTCATAATGACTGGTCCAGCAGTCGTTCTGGTCGTTCTGCTGTTAGGGTCAATTTGCATATTACCCTTTTATTATATAGGATGTCTATAAAATGTTGGGTTTGGAAAGGTTCAATGTAATATTTTGAAAAATAAGCATTAACTATTTTTTAGAATATTTATAAAAGGAATTCAAGAACTAAAAAACGTAGGTTTCTTAAAGCTTTTTATTCAAGCCCAGGGTAGGAATTTTTATCCAGGGTAGAATTTCCTTCTATGGAAGAAATTACTAGATCAAAACCATTTTTTCTACCCAAGCTTCCACGAAAAGGACTGATTGGTAGAGAATGTCACAAACAAGAAGTTGGTCCAGGAAATGCATGTTCCTATGGTCAGTATGATGGAGCTTGGTATCTTAAAACATAAGTGGCATGTACCAGGGGGAAGTGTGGCCAGGCATGGGATATCAAGGACATCCAGCTTAGTTTATTGATGGTAGCAGGGTGAGGATGTTTCACAGACAGACAAAGCAATTAACATTTACAATCTGAAATTAGGCCACATTCTGGAATGTAGTCAGGCTGACACATGAAGCAACAGGGAAGTATCATCAGGTTATAAGACTAAGTTATGATAACATGATAGGCGCTAAACTAGCGTGACTGGACAGTACCAGACAGAACTCCAGACTTGATGTGACTCAGGGAGATTACGAAGGTTGTTTCTGAGGAAGGGAAAGATAAAAATCCTCTTCACAATTCTGTGAGCTCCCTTGTGATGCAGGTTGATGGTGGGCCATGCATATTATCTTTGCATCCCTGGCACCTGCCCCAGTGCCTGACATTCAGTATGTGCCTAAGAAACAATTGTCATTAAAAGAAATATCAACTTATGGATTCAGATGAATGGTATGAATTTGATCTTGATAAACCAGAGCCAAAGAGGTACATCACATTTGATATTCTAAAAAGTTTTGATATAATATAACACATTTTTACAAGAATAACATTCTCCAAAAAATCTGAGAGTAAAACAAATTGATTTTTGTCAAACAATGTTTTTTTAAGTAACTACAAACTTAAAAATTATTCTTACGTTAAAAAAAAATTGGGCTCTGAGTGTAATAATACTTATAGGCATAAAAGGAAAAATTTATTACAATGGAAAATTTAAGGATATTATTTATTTTAATGTAATCTATAATAATAAAAGGGTAATATGCTAATTAGACTGGACATTTTCTGGACATCATTCCAGACGTCCTTCCTGACAAAGCCAGGGCCAGAGGGAAGCCAGCCTGGGCCCCAGATGCCTGCCAGTGGCCCGAGGAGAGAAGCCCCCATCCTGGATGCCAAAGAGAAGCCGGTGCTGGCAGCCGGGGAAAAGAAGGCCTACTCTTGCACGAATGTTATTTATTTTAATGTAATATGTATAATAATTGTCACAAAGTTCAACTATTCTATTAAAATTAGAGTACTAAAGACAAAGGCTTAGTCTCTCAGTTCTGAGTCCTTGGGAGAAGAAAATCTAGTCTGCATGTAGCCTGATTGTATCTTGTGTCTCTAACTTTTATCTACAACATTTAATTTTTTGTCCTTTCTTCTAATTGGGTTTGTTTATCTTGTATGATATTTCTCTATGGATTATTTAGTGGCTCTGGTGAGGCATGTTAGGGGTATTTGATTTGTTTGTTTAGCATACTTTTGGAAAGCGAAAAGCAGCTATATTCCAACACAGGATACAGTTACCATTAGAAAAGGATGGTTATCACAATATATTTTTCTGTTAGGGATATTTGATTTGTTTGTTTAGCATACTTTTGGAAAGAGAAAGCAGCTATATTCCAACACAGGATACAATTACCATTAGAAAAGGATGGTTATCACAATATATTTTTTCTTAAAGTATGGATTTTCCCTTAAAGTTTTGCTCTTTTAAAACTCATAGTTATAAACAATAAGGATAAGCCAACTTTGTTCAGATGCTTGTAGAAAATTCCTATTTCTAATTTTGTCTAATATGAATTGAACATAATAGGCACAGGGGCTGGAAACTTGCGCTTCTGCCTCTCCTTCTATTTGTAGTATGGTTACATTAATCTCTAGCTCATAAATAGTTATGCACCAGAATCAACTGACTGACTAATAAATAGTACCGATTGCTTCATTCACTATGATGAAGTACTGTATTAGGTGCAGAAGCATAAGGCGATGCTCTGAGTCCATGATACTAACAGATACTAATAAAGCCAGAGGACGTTTGCATGGATCTCCTTGACTTAAGCTAACTCTTTTGATTTCCTTTCTTTTTTATTTCTTTTCATTTTATTTTTCTCCCTCTCTTCAATTTCCTTATCTGTAAAAGATTAATTTTACAACAGAGTTACAGTTTCTAGACGGAACATTCTGTAATTTCATAAATCTGGAATTTCCATTCACTCTCTCTTTATTGCCTTTTTAATTCTTTACTATTATTATTAGTATTTTACCAAAGGCTTTGACATTCTTTATTATTTATCCTACCAGCTCATTTCCT